CTTGAGCCCAGGAGTTTGAGGTTGCTGTGAGCTAGGATGACGCCATGCCACTCTAGGCCGGGCAACACAGTGAGACTCTGTCTCAAAAAAAAAAAATTAAAAAAATAAAATAATACAGCAAAATTGAAAACAAGTATAGTTAGTAAATAGCTACACCAGTAACAGTCATTTATTATCATTATCAAGTATTATGTACTCCGTACATAATTGTATGTGTTATACTTTTATATGACTGGCAGTGCAGTATGTTTATTTATACTGGCATCACCACAAACATGAAAGTGTAAAGTAATGCATACGATGTGACATTATGACAGCTACAATGTCACTAGGCAATAGGAATTTTTCAGCTCCATTATAATCTAAAGGGATCAACATCGTGTATGCGTGTATGTGATCCTGACCAAAACATCATTATGTAGCATGTTAACCGTGTCAAATTGTATCACCCTACTGATGAAAAATACTTGTGGGCCAGGTGCAGTGGCTCACACCTATAATCCTATCACTCTGGGAGGCTGAGGTGGGAGGATCACTTGAGCTCAGGAGTTCCAGACCAGGCTGACTAAGAGCAAGACCCTATCTCTACTAGAAATAGAAAAATTAGCCAGGTGTGGTGGCTCACATCTGTAGTCCTAGCTACTCGGGAGGCTGAGGTAGGAGGATTGCTTGAGCCAGGAGTTTGAGGTTGCAGTGAGCTAGCTATGATGATGCCCCTGCACTATAGCCCCAGCAACACAGCAAGACTCAGTCTAAAAAACAAAAACAAAAAAAAACTGAAAAACACCTTGAGATAGTACATTGCCTCCATGATAAAGTCTGTATTGCTTTGTAAGCTGTACAGTCTTAAACAGTTCAGTCCCTGCCTACTTTTTTATAGCCTCATCTCCTGTTACTCCCACTCATGTACCCTCTATTCTTCAGCTTATTGAACATATTTCTATTGTTGCTATTTTCTGTCTTATTCTTTCCTATTTGTACATAGATCATTTATTCTGGCTACTTGGAATGCCCCTTTCCTCCTTGTTTGTCTAATGAACTCATCTTCAAGATGCAGAGCAAAGTCACCTCTTGTAAAGCTTTTATTTTCTTTGGATATTTCTTTACGTGCCTTTACTCTGTGCATGCCACCATTATAATATGTATTGCAATGTATTGCTGTTTAACTTCAGTTAATTGAATGGGTACAGTGGTTTTAAGTTTGTGAGTAATTAGTAGTGATCTTGAATATGTTTCTGTTTCTTTGTTTCTATTTCTTCTTGTTTGAACTGATCTCTTTTAATTTGTATTTTTTCGTATAAATTGGAATGAGTAAGTATATCTTAGAGTAAAAGACAGGTTTTTATAATAGAATTTACTTAGTTGTGGTATGAGGGGGTGAAGAGAACATTAATTTGGTCCACTCTTTGTTTCCTGAACCTGAAAGAACCAAAGAATTGGTCAGCATTATGGTGTCAAGAGCTATTCTCTGGTTTGTTTAGGAAAATAAAAATGTAAACATTTTAGATTATCATTATTTGTGTTTATGTTCTAGAGGATCTCTGGGAAAGTTTAGAAAATGCTAGTGGTAAACCTATAGCAGCAGTGATGAATACCTGGACCAAACAAATGGGATTCCCCCTCATTTATGTGGAAGCTGAACAGGTAAACTTATATAAAGTCCTTCCATTTGTCTGATATTAAATGAAATTCAGTACAGTGTTACCAAATTTGCTTTTCTGTACTTTAAGTGTTGTACTGACATTTAAACCAGCCCTCTTACTCTTTTTCTCAGTGACTTTGCCCCCACATCATTAGAATTATACATGTTTAAAGTAGAAAACAAGATGTTGGTTTAACATTTAAAAAAAAAATCAGTGTATTGATTCATAATCATTAATTAACAGAATCAAGTAGAAAGAACCACATAATCACCCAATTAGATGCAGAAAAAGCATTTGGTAAAACTCAGCACGCATTTATAATATATAATATCATTGTGTAAAATTGGTCTTTAATGTTGATTGAATGACAGTGTGATTCTTGATTTTTTTTTTTTTGAGGCAGACTCTTGCTCTGTTGCCCAGGCTGTATTGCAGTGGCGTCATCATAGCTCACTGCAAGCTCAAACTCCTGGGATCAAGTGATCCTCCTGCCTCAGCCTCCTGAGTAGCTGGGAATACAGATGTATGCCACCACACCTGCCTAATTTTTTTCTATTTTTGGTAGAGACAGGGTCTCACTCTTGTTCAGGCTGGTCTCAAACTTCTGAGCTCAAGCAATCCTCCCACCTTGGCCTCCTAGAGTGGTAGGATTACAGGTGTGAGCCACCATGCCGGGCCAGCAGTGTGATTTTAATTAGAATTACACTCATTAGTTGAACTGTTATCTGAATTCAAAGTGGAGTACTTCAGAATGAGTTATTCCCCAACAGGACTGAGAATTACATATCAACCTTTAATGCTTACCAAAAAGTTTATCTTAACTCAGTTTCATTATATGAAATTACAAAATTATTGTCTTAAATTTCTTTGCCATGGTTTTATGAGCTGCATAGGGAATTAATTACAGTTCATTTTTAGGGAAGAGGATTCGTAAATTTTTTTTTTTGTACATGTTTTTCCTTGTGGTCCTATATTGTTCATAAAACTGAGTAAGTTTTACAAATAATTTCTCAATCTGGTAATCTAAGATAGTAAATTTACTTTTTTGCATTTGAAGTATTCTAGGTTACATTTAAATTGGCCCTTGTACTCTCGAAATGCACCCAAATTTACGTGGAATGTTTTTTGTTTTTTTTGGGTTTTTTTTTTGAGACAGAGTCTCACTCTGTCTCCTGGGCTAGAGTGCCATGGCCTCAGCCTAGCTCACAGCAACCTCAAACTCCTGGGCTCAAGCCATTCTGCCTCAGCCTCCCAAGTAGCTGGGATTACAGGCATGTGCCACCACACCTGAGTAATTTTTCTACTTTTAGTAGAGACGGGGTCTTACTCTTGCTCAGGCTGGTCTCGAACTCCTGACCTTAAGCGATCCTCTTGCCTCAGCCTCCCAGAGTGGCTAGGGTTGCAGGCGTGAGCCACCACGCCCAGCCTATGTGGAATATTTTAATGTGGATGCTTGCCAGTTACCCTTCCAGAGCCACATCTTAACTTTAAACATGATTGGATTTACTAATAAATGTGCACATTGGAGGACCTCTCAGTTAGATTGGCTGGAAGAATTTGTAAAGGCAGTTTAGGGAACACAACTGATGATGTTTGGTAGAAAAGAATACTTGTAGTAGGTTTTGTGACCTACCATTGTGACCACATTATTTTCTCCAGTTTTGACTAGGCTATTATGTAGGAGATGACTGAACGAACTTGACATTGACAGTCCATTTAGGCTGACAAGTAGTTTTCTCTTTACCTGACCTCTTTTTTTTTTTTTTTTTTTTTTTGAGGATCTGTATTGGTCTCGAACTCCTGAGCTCAAATGATCCACCCGCCTCGGCCTCCCAGAGTGCTAGGATTACAGGCGTGAGCCACCGCGCCTGGCCTACTAAATGTTTTTAATTGAATTTTAGTTCATTAAGTTGTAAGTTTTAGAGTATAATAGAAGGGACATGTGAGTTTTTAAAATTAGTGAAATGATAGTTGTTTTCTTTACGTGTTTCCATCTTTTGTTTTTAGGAATGGTGGACTCATCTTTGGTTAAATGAAGGTTTTGCATCCTGGATCGAATATCTATGTGTAGACCACTGCTTCCCAGAATATGATATTTGGACTCAGTTTGTTTCTGCTGATTATACCCGTGCCCAGGAACTTGACGCCTTAGATAACAGCCATCCTATTGAAGTGAGCCATATTTTCCAACCATTGGCCTATGACTGCTCTCATTTTCAATGAAATAAGTTAATTTGTTATACAGATCCTTAGGACTCTTAAAAAAGGAGAAAATTGCATGGGTGATTTCACTTGTTTTTATAGTTCATATTTCCAGTCTTGAAAAGCTAATAAGACCAAGTTCTAGTTAACATTTCTTTTTAAGATATGCAGTAAAACAATTTGGTCTTTGTAGAAGCAGGTGCTGTGTATCTATAAGCATTCACTAAATATGTTTTTGCTGAATAGTATGGGAGAAACCTTATCTGTTGGGTAACACTGTGTTGGTTTCAAGGAAAATTCTGGACATAGTGTTTTATTATTGTCCTTATCTATTTTTGTGTATATTTGAATTCTCTTGGCCTAGCCTATTCTTACCTCAGTTAGTTTATATGTATAAATTTTGGGTCCAAAAAGACAAGAGTTATAATCCTACTTTGACATATTTAACTAGAGTCCGATAGAATTGTAAATAATTACTACTAGTGTAGGAAATCAAATGTTTTTCATCTCTCCAATCCTTCCTCAGCTTCCCCTAGTTCCCCCAAGAATAAAAAGAGATTTAGTGACTTGCCTCCTAGCAGAACAAAGTCAAGACTGGAACCCAGGCTGTGAGGGATGACAGGGATCATGTTATATACTCCACTTTATTAGGATTAACTATTACATTCTTTTGAGGAGTGTCATTATACATTATGAGTGAGTTAAAGGCAGAAAAATATAAGTTAGAAGGGTTTTCCTAGAAAGCTTTTTATGTAATTCAGCATTACAGGCTATCTGCTTCCTGTCATAACCCTGAATCACACTGTCTGCCAGGTCAGTGTGGGCCATCCATCTGAGGTTGATGAGATATTTGATGCTATATCATATAGCAAAGGTGCATCTGTCATCCGAATGCTACATGACTACATTGGGGATAAGGTAAAAAGCAATTTAAAAAATCTTTCATTCTTTTGTGGTGAAATCATAGAGTTTTGCATGGAAAAAATGTCTGATTTTATTTGAATTACGTTCCTAGATAATTTTTGGCTTGTCTTTATTCCATTTTAATGAGAAAAAAGTGAGAACTGCAGTTCTTTTTAATTGACTACTATGGTCTCTTAGATGAATGATGTGCAAGTATATTTGGGGATGGGAGTGGGAGGCTGGCATCAAACTTAAAAGCAAAAGTAGAAGGCAAAGAGTATGCATTCTTGAATAAAAGGCAGTAGGCATCAGAGAGATTTGTGTTTTTCAGTATAGCCGATACTTTAGTGTTTGAGTAAATTTGGTTTTGAGTACTGATATATAAATATACTATAAATTCTGAGATCTGACTCTCCTGGATTTAAAAAATTGTGTTTTCTCAGGACTTTAAGAAAGGAATGAACATGTATTTAACCAAGTTCCAACAAAAGAATGCTGCCACAGGTAATCTTTAATAGCTTGAGAGAAAAATGGAGAGAAAATGTTGTCACTCTATCCAGGGTGGGACATTTAATTTTGTTTTAAATGCTTAATTTCCACGTAATTCATAGGAAGTAAAGTAGACTTATTTGAAGCCATGTGCAGGTTGAGTATCCATAATCTGAAAATCCAAAATTCAAAATGCTCCAAAATCTGAAACATTTTGAGTGCTGATGTGATGCTTAAAGGAAATGTTCATTGGAGCGTTTCAGATTTTGGATTTTTGGATTAGGGATGCTTAACCACTAAGTATAATGCAAATATTCCAAAATCTGCAAAAATCCAAAATTTGAAGCAAGTGTTCCGAATAAAAGATACTCAACCTGTAGTAAGTCATTGGATCAATATGAATCAGGACCCATTGTGCCTTTGGTCATCCTCCAATATTCTGCTTTCTGTAACTTAATGTTTTGCCCCTTTAAAGTCTGAAGAGTTCCATTTACCTTTCCAGAGCTTGTTCTTTTGGTGATTGGTTGGTTTTATTGCCCTAAATTGATAATTGGCCATTAATATAGCTGCAAATTAACCATTTTGTGAGTGAACTTGTGGAACTACAGAGTTTCAGTGAAGTGGAGTCTTAAGATTTTTAGCATATGATGATCTATAATTTATTGTATATTGGAGTCAAAAGAAAGAATATAAGTATAAGTGTTGCTTGAATATGAAAAAGAGCCAGGGTTAGAGTTTTGAATTCTTCAGTTAACAAAAGTAGTTTAAAAAACAAGGTTTGTGGTAATATCATTAGTGTCTAATAGAATGATAAAGGTTCAGAGAGGCCTGACCATGGGTTGTTCCTGAGGTATTTATGGCCTTTGAATTAAGAATATAGTATCTGCTTCTTTGTTCAGGCCATTATGTAACTTTGACTATCAACACCCCCCCCTTGTAAATTTCCATCTTCGTTTGTAACATAGACATTCTATTCCTTAAAGCAGGGCTAGGGAAAAGTATACTCTTAAAAGTTTTATAACTCTTTTGCGTGTGTGTGTGTGTGTGTGTGTGTGTATGTGTATGATATGTGAGGAAAGAATCCTGTGCTTTTAAACCGTACACACACACACACACATATATTTTATGTCCACCTTCGATGTCTTAAAATGTTTTATCAGTAGGGGCTGGGCTGGGGCCTGAGGATCCGCATTCCTGAGCTCCTGGGTGAATCCAGTGCTTCTAGTTTATGGACCACACTGAATAACAAGATTAAACAACCGTTTAACCATTTCCATTTTTGTTATTTATGAAAGACAATTGACAGTTCAAATATATTTCAGTTACCATTCATGATCTTCATCCTCTTGTAGAAGTTCTTTCTATCCTCACAGCCCTTCTCTTAATTCATGCCTTCATCATCTCTCTACAGAAACTCAGCAGTTGTCTACTAACTTGCTGCTTCTTGCCTTACCTCTCTCTCTTCAATTTCATCTCTTACACTAAGCTGGAGTTATCTTTCTAAAGCAAATACAGTCATGTGTTGCTTAATGATGGGGGTACTTTGTGTCCTTAGGCAATTTTGTCATTGTGCGAACATCGTAGAATGTACGTACACAAACCTAAATGGTATAACCTACTACACACCTAAGCCATATGGTACAGCCTATTGCTCCTAGGCTACAAACCTGTATATTACTGTACTGAATGCTGTAGACAATTGTAACACAGTGGTAAGTGTTTGTGTATCTAAACGTAAAAAAGGTACAGTAAAAATACAGTGTAAAAGACAAAAAATGCTACATCTGTGTAGAGCACTTAGACCACGAATGGTGCTTGCAGTACTGGAAGTTGTTCAGGGTGAGTCAGTAAGTGAGGGGGGTGAGTACATGTGAAGGCCTAGGACATCACTGTTCACTACTGTAGGCTTTATAAACACTGTACACTTAGGCTACACTAAACTTATAAAAATATTTTCTCTTTCGCAAGTTATCCTAGCTTACTTTAACTTTTTTACTTTATGCATTTTAAAAATTTTTTTAACTTTGACTTTTGACACTTAGCTTATAACACAAACACATTGTAAAACTGTACAGAAGTCAATCTTGTCTCTTTCTCTCTCTCTCTTTCTTTCTTTCTTTCTCTCTCTCTCTCTCTCTCTCTTTCTTCTTTCTTTTCTTCCTTTCTTTCCTTTCTTCCTTTCTTTTTCTCTTCTTTCTCTTCTTTATTTTAGACAGGGTCTGGATCTGTCACCCCAGCTAGTTGCAGTGGCATTATCATAGCACACTGCAACCTCAAACTCCTGGGCTCAAGCTATCTTCCTGCCTCAGCCTCTCCAGTAGCTGGGACTACAGGCACGTGCCACCACACCTGGCTGGTTTTTTCTATTTTTTTTGTAGAAACCATCTCACTATGTTGCCCAGGCTGGTCTTGAACTCCTGGCCTCAAGTGATCCTTCTACCTCAGCCTCCCAAAATGTTAGAATTACTGGCATGAGCCGTCACACCTGGCTATTTTCTTTGTTTATATCCTTAATAAAAGTCTTTTTCTATTTCTAAAAATTTTTATTTATTTCTTTTTACTTTTTTTTTTCTCTACCCCTCTCTTCCCTTTCTCTT